TGTCGGTTAACCCTGCAGCGGCGTCTGCTCCGGTCCCGTTAGCTGGCAGCGAGGTGACAGCCCGCCACAAAAACACCGACTGCTGGAAACCTTCCACGGCGACTTCTGTTTCGCAAGAACAGGAACATTAACCGACATGTTTCCAGTTTAACACATTTGGTTTCTTTTTCACTCATTAACGAGGCTGTGAACCGACTTTCTGGGGGTCAAAGTGGAGACTAAATTCTATTTCTGGACGTCACACCACAGGATCATCGCTTCATAATCAGAGGGGTTAAATAAAGCATCTTTGCACTCTGCTGGCCAGCACACTCGCAGACTGACAAGTTACACTAGACACCAGTACAGGACCCGAGTCCGGGCGGATAAAGAAACAGACATTCAGCAAGACACTCAACTTAAGGACATCGCGACACGGTTCATGCTCGTCCTCCAGGGCGTTTGAGGCACATGTGATCAGAAAAACCCTTTAATATTACACCTAAACACGGCAACCGCCTCTCGCTCTGCGGGAACCTGAAATAACTTCTGCCCTGAACTGATGAGCTTGTTTGTTTTTTCCACAAATCAGAGGAGTCACCTCATGTCTCGATCACAGGGTGGTCTTTTAATTAAAATCTCTCTTTGTAAAGGACACTATAAGTTCCACCTGGGAGGACAGGTATAATTTCAGGTGGCAGCTGTTTTTCAGATTCACTCGAAACGATTCATCGATTAATTCAATTACTAAAATTCATCGACGCAAGTTCTTTGCACGGATGCTTCGTTTAATCCATATAACTGTACAGCGCACTGTTTCGCACGGACACTTATTACTGTCGCACATCACGCTTACGCTCGCAGTGAACACGACGCGATTATGATGGAGAAAGTGGAGTTCTTAAACGACGCACTGATAAAATAATCTGTAGAAGCTTCGAGTACTAACATCATCGTGAGCTGCAGGTCGGAGGGTCACGCTGCCTTGTGGTCTAAAGACGCTTACTTTTGCAACATTTGAATCTGGACATAGACCTTAGTTGCAGGTTCTCTCTCTCTACTCCTGTCAAACAGGAAAAAGAAAGTTTACCAGGAAGCACGGGAGCGCCGGCAGGCTGCAGGCGGTGGAGACGATGACAAACGTTCATCTCTCCACAGCGTGTTAGTGCTGGCAGCGCCGGACCGATTCAGACTCTACAAAGCGTTCGCATTAATCACGGAGCTGTTGGTATTCTGTTTTCTTTCGGCACAATGAGCCGTTTAGCGTCCAGAATTAACAGGCCGGGTCCAGTTTTGGAGCGTTCGCACTACCGATCTCCGTTTGTGGGTGATGATGCACAGATATCAGATCAGTATCAGGAGAGACAAAGCGGCGTTCAGCTGACACCGTGCACAGGACGGATCCTGCAGGAGCCCCGGACCACAGATACCGCCTCGCCCACGGAAGCCTTTTATACACTTTCATGCCTTAAACCGCACATTGTGCAGCAGAGTTTGTTGTGAGCGCCTTCACAAATGAACCCTGATGACCCTCGATAACGTCAGGGTGTGAAGAAGAGGCCGCAGCAGAGTAAACACTGACCTCCTCCAGCCTGGCGAGCATTCAGCCAGCTGTATTTCTACTCCAGACGCACCGATCTGACCTGATCATTTAGGTCCCGATGCAGAAACCTGGGCTGTGGCAGAGTACAGACCTCAACTTAAACATCGCTTCCTAACTTTATTATGCTGCGTTGGCTCTCCTAGATCCAGCGTTTTGAGTCCGTATCGGGCCGATAGCTGATATCAGTATCTACAAAGAAGAAGAAAGGCCTGAAGAAACATTTTAAAGAATATAAAGTCGGGCCGAACTGATTATTTTTGACAGATATTGCAGTTTGATCGCAGAATCAGAAGAATGATCATTCTTACATCATTATTTTATAGTTTTTGTTCATAGTGTGTGTTCTCTGTTCTGTGGCCTGTGTTTGATTTTATTACTGTATTATCGTATCAGTAAGCACATCGTGAGCAGTGTACAATCCAGAGTCAGACTCCTCGTATGCGCACACACACCTGGCAAATAAAGCTGATTCTGATTCTTCTCATTGAAAAACATTAAAATGAATTATGGTGCAACTTCTGCAGGGAGCTGAACCAAGCAAAGATGTTTTCTTAAGTCTGCAGAATATGACGTGCAGGCCAGGACGTCTCTGCAGCAACACAATATTTCATTTAAAATGGGGTTTTGATCCACATGTAACCTTTAACAAATGCAGCGCATGGCGGTTTGGCCATATTGTGATTTTGATCAACATTTTGATTAATCGTTCAGCCCTAATATAAAACAAGTTCAGGTGCCTTTGACTTCTTGCTGTTCAACACAAATTATCTTTAACTGCTGTTATTATTATTAAAATTGGCAAAAATGTCTCTTAAAATGATTTTTCCAGTTTTTAATTCTGTAAAATCACAAATAAATCCACTGTAGTTTAAACGTCTTCAGCACCAGAGCCCGTGTGATCCCGCAATTCAGTTCTTCCCAAATCTAAAATCACTTCTTTTTAGAACAGAAGAAGTTCAAGTACTAGTAAGAACTTTGTCTAAATAAAATGACCATTTTAATCAGGAACTATCAGACAAACCGACGGGATTCAGACCGGCGATCCTGTGAACTACATCCCTGCCTCCTCGCCTCACCTCTGCTGCGTCTGTTCAGGACTCGCAGCCCCCGGGCGGTCGCACCGACACACCGCCAGTCTTTATGACCTCTCGCCACGCTGAGGAAACAAACACGAGCGCGGCTGCCGCCACGACTCCCTCCTAAAGCTCCACAAACACGGCGAGGTCGCAGAGGTCGGCGGCAGCTGTTGACACATCATCAGCGTGCCGACGCTCATCAGGTGATATTTGACCTTCGGTAATCAGGGAAGGGTGCAAACACCGATCCAGCAACGCACCGACAGATATTATATTTACAGGAACTCAAGTCATGTGCTCTTTTATTTCCAGCAGCAGTTCAGTGGACACAAATAGTTTGAAGGAAAAAAAACGTTACCCAGCTTTTTATCACTGCTCGTCTTTCACCGCCGCCGGGTGGCAGATGACATCCTAGATTTCTGAGGCTGACGACACCGGGCGTTAAAATGTAAAATCACGTGTTGACCACATGAAAGTCCAGGCAAGTAACGTGTCCGTACAGCGGTCTCACGGTCTGGACCCACAGCTCTGGTTCTGCAGGCAACTCATCTTCCGGTCTACATCGCCGGCTCAGCATCCGATCCCTTCAACCCCGCAGCAAATCAGTGTTTCCCCTGTGCGCCGCTTCTGAATTATGACCGCCGCTACTACAATTTCCTCCAATCTTTAATTGCACGGCAGCGCTTCCTCTACCTGGCAGGTGCTGTTCCTTCCCCAACTGTTACAGGAGTTAGCGAGTGTTTGATTGTTGAGCAGCTGAGCAGGAAAGCAGAAATTACCCGCCGTCTTTTGGCGACGTGTGCCAGCTAGTAGCTGCATTTCGTTGCTGCCCACTTGTCCGGTGTTGAGAACATTAGGTACAAGCTTAGACTACAGCTCTGTCATGTACACAGAATATAAGAAAAGAAAGGGCAGTGGTGACTGTGGAGGAGCTGAGCTTAGTAAAGCAAGTTAGGTATGTAAACTAGTCTCTTTTAAGCCAATGAGGAGACGATTCTTTTGGATTTTATTGTGCAAATGAAATTCTTGGTATTCAAGGGAGGTGGTTCTCATGTTGCCTGTTTCTCATATTCATTTCTCCAGACAAATGTCAAAGGCTGTAAAATTGAGACACAAAAGACAACATGAGAAGTCGTATCTATAATGACTCGGAGGTCATATTAACAGGGTTTCCCTGCCGGTAGGCTCAAAATGGCTTGTGTGCTGCATGAATGTAAAATCACTGTGGAGACAGCACGAAAACTAAATAACTTCCAAAATCAAACTGTTACAGTCAGCAAGTTTAGTCCTTAGCATCTCTTCCCCACAGATACGGTAAAAATAATGGTCCTAATGATGTGAAATTTCATATTCGTCATTGGTAATAGTAAAATTCTCTCGGGGGAGGACCCCCAACCCCCTCCTCCCACCACCACCACCACAAAATATGTGCATCCAAGACTATGGGAACACACTGAAATTGTCAGCTAATCTAATGTGCATTACCCGTTCAGCCACACAGCAGGGCGCACTATTCGCTTCACCTCGGCTGCTACGGCTGCATCCCAGGGGAAACACTGAAATATCTCTCCTTCCTCTAACTCCTCCCTCTCTCGGCCCTGCACGCGGGTCAACAGTAAATGCTCTGTGTTTGTACAGCGCCTTTCTCCTCTTCAGTCACATTCACGCACCGATACACTGAGCCTAAGCGCTCAGAAAATGACATCATACACCGAAGGAACAGGACACTTCGACACGCCGAACCCACAGTTTGGTTAATGACTTGTTGTGAAGCTTAAAGAAAGGTATTCAGGCCGCTGAAGAAAGAGAGAGAGAGAGAGGAAACATGAGTGTATGATCCATCACGGTGGGAGGAGACGGCTCAGAAAGTTATTAAAATTACCCAGACATGAGGAGGACGTGACGTTCTGTAACAGAGCGGTCAGATCTCAACGTGGACGCCAGAGACAAATATTAATGCCCAACATAAACGGTCTCCCTGATTATTTGAAATAAGAATTAATTAAAAACCTTAAAATATCATTGCGGCTGAGTCGTAATCGGAGCAAATGTGCCTGTTTTGTTCTTTCTTTGTGTCGGTAACCACTTGAGAGGCGGGAATATTAAAACCCACTACTCCCACATGTGATCCCAGTTTATCTGGGACACAAGTCTTTCAGCTCTTCCTGACGCCACTTACGTCCCATAAATTCATATTTACGTGTCAAAGACAAGAGCTTGTGTGAATAAAAAATAAAAAGGTGTCTTAATTTAGTTTCCACCGTACTGAGATGGAGTGTTTTTAAATTTAGGTACCAGTTCCCGGGCCGTGTGTTTTGTGGCTCAGGACGAGGCGTGCGTACCTATGAGAGCCTGGAAGAGGTTGCTCTGGAAGATGTCGATGACCCTCTGGATGGAGTGTCGGAGCTGCCGGTCCTCGGCGTGCTGCAGCTTGGCCCGGTACTCCTCCAGCAGCAGCAGGGCTCGCTGTGCATCTGGGCGACATGAGGAAGGAAGGAAGCAGCAGAGGTGAGTCGAGAACTGATGCGAGCAGCAGCAGCAGCAGCAGCAGCGTTTAGCTGGTCTGAACACTCAGCTGCTTCACTGCTGCAGTAATCCCTCAGAGCTGAAACACTGAGCTGCTAGTTTAGTTTAGTATAATACCAAATACTTTTAAATAACAAATAAAGACATTTAAGACGGTGAGGAGGTTTAAGGTCAGAGCAAATGGAGTTTGGTTTAACCCCCCCGCCCCAACAGATCAGTGTAGAGGGAAGCATCAGGGCAGATTTGGGTTTATAGAGCATCACAACCTGCTGAAGAAACTAATTCTCTCTAAAAACCAAAACTAAAAGGAAGGCAGGCAAAATAATTATGTTGAAGTTTAAAAGCAAAACATACAAGATTATTTCTTTTACTTTTACGGCCTTGTATTTATTATAAAATTGACTTTTTAAAAAGGACCTGGAAAGATGTAGAGTTGAAATAATAATCTCAAAATATTCACTTTATTATAAGATAAAAACAGAGATAAGAAGCACATGCTCACATTTCAGAAGCTGAAACTGACATTATTTGCTTAACTGACTGATAAATAACAAGGTGAGCACCTCAGGATCAGCAGAGAGGGAAGCATCAGGGCAGAACGGAGCCACGAAACTTCTTCTGACGCTGCTGCTGAAGAAACTAACTCTCACTCATCCAAAAATATACAAAGTCAAAAGGTAAAATGCTCGTCCAAGTAAATTTTAATGACTTTAAGGCCTAATATTTATTTTTAAATTGACTTGCTGAAGGGCCTGGAAAGATGACGAGTTGATCATTTTCATTATTATTTAGCCTTTAAACTGCATCTTCTTCTCTAAGTTTCACTTTACTGTGATGTAAAACGGAGAGAGAGGAGGAACTTTCTGCTTAACTGACTGATCGATTAACTGCTAAATCAGCATTAAAATAAAGGTCGGTGTCTCAGGATCAGCTCAGAGGGAAGCATCGGGGCACGTTTGGGTTCACAGAGCATCAAAACGTCTGACGCTGCTGCTGAAGAAACCAATTCTCACTAAAGGGAAACTGAAAGAAGTCAGGTAAAATATTTACGCACAAGACAATTAAATGACTTTTAAGGCCTTCTATTTATTATAAAACTGACTTTTAAAAAAGGGCCTGGAAAGATTTGATTAGTTGATTATTTCCATTAGTATTTAATCTGCTGATTATTGAGCCTATAAAATGTGTATTTCTCTTTTCTAATCTAACTTCAGAGCCCAGGGTGAGGCCTTCAAACGGCACAAAACGTTTTAGATATTCACTTTACTGTGACATAAAAACAGAGAAGCTGGAACTGACATTTTTGCTAAAGAGACTGATCGATTAAGTGATAAATAAACTTTAAATTAAAGGTCAGTGTCTCCGAGGGAAGCTGCAGTTTGTCCGGCATCAAAGCTCTGAAGCTCTCAGGGATTTCAGCCACTTCAGGCTACTGAAACTGGTAATACGCATATTTAGTGACTAAACAAGCAGCAGGTCAATCAGGAAAAACTAACTGGTAGTTTCAGCCCGACAAGGGAACCACCACAGCTTTAAAAAGAAGGTCAAACTTTAGCTTAAGGGAAACTTCCAAGTGTAATTGTATGTAATTTGTGGCTGTTTAACTTGCTATCTTTACATCGGGGAGCGAAACTGGAAGTAAACTGAGGACTTAACTGGGATTTTATGTCCTGAGATTAAAGCACTGAGGGGAAACAGACATTTAGCAGATAATTTAATTAATGGCAGTGTTTCTTTATTATCAGTTAACCAGTATTAGGCCTTGTTAAACAGTTTTATCTTTTAGTCTAACAGAAAAGTGACACTGAGACATGTTTTCATTGATTAATCCAGCTGATCATTAAAAACAGACTAGATGGAGCCTTACTGGATAAATCTGTGTCCCAGTGAAAGTGCTGTGGGAGGTAAAATATAATTAGTACAATTAGGCTGCTGTTTGGCACAATTAAGGATCCTTTTCGAGCATTAAAGCCAAAATACAGACACAAATATCCAAGTATACGAGAGTAGTTTCTCTCTTCTTACAGTCAGGCTCTTTGCTGTGGCGCCTGTGTGTAAATATTTTATTGATATTAAGAGTTTATTTTTAGTTGGGCTGCTCTCCAGACAAGGTGCCCCATTTATTCAACTTGAGTTAGCATCCGCGGCTAACAGGGCTAGCCCTACTTTTAACTCACTTTACCTGACTGGCACGGCGCGGCACGGCACGGCTCAGTAAGGCCGATTTAAAGCCGTGTGCGCTTGTGTTTAGGTGGAGTTGTGTCCGTGTTTTGTTCCTCCACACGGAGCTGGCTGTGCGTGTTTGACTTTCTCCCGGCAGGTTAGCCGCGCTAGCTTGCTAGTTGATCCGTGAAGAAGTGAGAGAGCGGCTTACCTTTCTTTCTGACTGGCATGGTCTGGCTCGGCTCGGCACGCAGCTACTTCTGTGTTAGCCTCATACACTCCTCACACAGGACAGGGAGGAGGAGGAGGAGGGGGGGCTTCCTTTTTATTGATTATTCCGCCAGTTAAAGCCCGCTGTCACGGCTCCAAGTCGGGGCTGAAGAAGAGGAAAAATCCCTCCACGACGACAGCAAGTTCCCCTCCGAGCAGAAACAAACCTGCAAACTAACTGTCAGGGGCAGCCGGCACGAACATAACAACACTGCGGGGGCAACTAATAAAAGCCCAGACAGGACACCCGGGTTAAAAAAGTAAAACCACAGAAAGCGAGTAAGATCCAGAAAAAAAAGCGCCGTCCGTTTGCCGACACTCCGTGCTGTAGCTCCCCGACACAGAGGCTCCCTGCCCCGGCGTGCACCGCGCTGGCTGACCGCTGTGACGGAAGGTGGAAAGTGTCGAAATGCAGCGTTCACCAGCTGGGACCTGCCCGTGCGCCAAACTCCATGCAAAAAAACACCCAGTTTCCGCGCAGGCAGGAGCTGCTGCTGCTGCTGCTGCTGCTGCGGTGCAGGGAAATGATCAGCTCCGGAGCTGCGCGTGTTATTCCACGATTTTAATAACTTCAAAGTCCAGCCTGGTGGCACACCTAAACTCAAGCCGTGCCAAGCCCAGACTGGTTTATCCCGCACTGGCACGCACACTTGTGTGTTATTCCAAGCGCCACACACTGCCTGCGTTGTGCATTCGTGTCAAAGTTCCCCTCAGTGCAAATCCCTCCTCTCTTTTTCCTTCCACTTCCTCTTTTTTCCTCCTTCTTCTCCTCTTTTCTTCTTCTTCTCCCTTCTCCTCCTCCTCCTCCTCCTGCACCTCCCCAGGTCTACAAATCCCAAACTTTCCTCCAAAATGGCGTCTCACAGAGCCGCAAATGTGAACCATGTGATTTACAAAAAGCCTACCCCTCCAACCTGCCGCCCAATCATGCAGCTCACCTACAAGACCGAGCAGGAGGAGGAGGAGGAGGAGGAGGAGGAGGGAGGAAAAAAACTTTTGGATTAAGAGAGAAAGGCAAGGTGAGAATGAAGAGGGCAATAGAGGAAGAGGAGGTGAAGGTGAGATTATAAAATTTAAAGAAAGCAAAGAGAGGAGCTGGAAAAACTCCAGGAGGAGGAGAGATGGAAGCTGGAGGGTCAAAAATATATAAACACAAGATTGTAAAACTAAAAAGGGGGAGGAAGAGAATCACCAAAATGAAGAAGAGGAGGAGTAGAGGGAAAGGACGAAGACACTGTGAAAGTCAACAAACACTAGGATGAAGAGGGCACATTTGGAGGAAGAGGAGGGAAAGTGATGGAAGAAGAAGAAGAAGAAGACAGGAGTGTAAACAAGTGACATTTTCTTTTATCAGGTGTTCAGACTGATCTCAGGTCTGTGCTGTAAATCTGAAGCCACAGCCGCAGCAGCGGGTTAGCTTAGCTTAGCACTAAAAATAATAATAATAATAACTTTATTAGTGCAGAACTTTTCAAAAGTTACAAAGCGCTGTGCTGTAGAAACAAACAAGATCCATACTCAAAATATAAATGAATCCAAGTAATTTAAAAATGAACGATGAATAATAACAGCAACAATACAAAGTTTATAAAAACGTGAGACTTAAGAAGAGATTTAAAACACTAACAGAATCCACCAGCACCTCCTGAGTAACACGCCGTATCGTCCTTTTAATCTGTAAAACTAAAACTGTTATTAGGGAACTGGTTTCTGGCCCTGACCGCTTTGCTTTCAAGGTACCCAGCAGGAAGTTACAGGACTTACTTCCCCAAAATGTCAAACATTTCAACTTTACACGTCTTGACTAATGTTTCGACTAACACCAGCTGACCTGCATCTTTCTAATCAGACGTCACATAGAAGTACTCTATACTACATTTTGTATTTTTACACACTCACACACGCTGTATTCGTATTCGGGTCATTGAGAATCTGTTACCCGCCTGCTTAAACAAATGCAGATTATTGCACTTTTAAAAAGTGCAATAATCTGGTTTATTCTGCCCAATATGGAAACATTTGAGGATTTTAATCCTCCCCCATCACTCAACATCATCAAAACTCATTATAATGGTGCATTCAGGTGCTCCTCGGATGGTCCCGTGTCCCCAGTTGTGAAGTTTGTTCTTTCGAGTGTTCATGTCTGAATGTGGAAACAACACAGACGCTACAACGTTGTTGTTCCGACTTCAGGGGGCGAATTTTTACCATTATTCTGACACCACTTGCCAACTTTTTAAATTAGCAAAGTGACAAACTTAAAACAACTATTTCCCTTCTCGGGGATCAATAAAGTATTTCTGATTTCTGATTCTGATGTATGACGTGCGACCTTCTCGTTGTGTCGTTTAAACACCAGAATCTCCAGATTCAGTGCTGAACGCATGACCTCTGTGTGTCTTTCTGCCCAAAGAGAGGAAGTGAAACTATTACGCTGCACTCAGTCGTAACACGTCTATACTTAATCTGTTAAATTAAAATTGTTTATTATTTATGGGAACAACAATGGCCAAAACAAAGCTTGTTTCCTGGTGAAAACCCCTTCATTCTTTTTCCAAACCAAACTGTGTGTAAGAATTTGGATAACTGAAAACTGCAATAAGCAGCCACAAGAACGTAAAGTGATTTTATACTTATATCCAAGCAATGCACCAGATAATTCAGAACATATAACTTTTATTTGGTATATTATTGTTGAACTGCTGCACTAAACTGTAGGTTTGTCTCCTGCCGTACTGGAGTGGGATTATGTTATTTTATTTACCTCCATTTTTGTAGGGAGTTTGGTTTAGATATTTAGTCTTTTTTGTAAACCAATTTCTGTCTGAATTCTTGACCTTCTTCTGATTTTATTATTATTATTATTAATCCCAGACCCAGGCAGTAATGAAACTTTTACATGTCATGTTAGAAACAAAAAAAACACGTTATTGCTGTTATGAAAAGTGTTTTTTACCTAAATGTTTGATAATCAATGCGCTCATTAAAAATACCTCCCTGCCGCGTCATTAATGACCTAAAACAATGGAAATTTGGGACTTTAGTTGCGAGTTGGAGGAGAACACAACAGAAAGGTCAGGGGTCAGGCAGCGCACCGTCCTGCAGCACAGATCCTTTGGTGACGATGAAGATGAAACATCCTCTTCCTCCCTCATGTGAAGCACCCCTCTTTGTGTCTCTTTGTCTCTCCTGCTGTCGTCGTCTCTCTCATGTGCTGATGCAAACCACTCGAAGCTCTGGCCCAGATTAAAGAGAGCAGCTCCGGTGAAAGGAAGAGGCCTTTATTTTTAGACGGTCATGTTTAATGAATGGCCTCGCCTTGAGCCTCCGCGCTCCTCGTACTAAAGTGCAGAAGGAGAAGGAGGTCTGCTCTGCTCTCACGCCATCAGTCACCTCCTGAGAGCGAGCGGGATCGAATCTAGTTAAAATGTGACCGGACAGGAAGGGCATCAGCTGATCAACTTGTTCTCCAGTCGATCACAGACACGTATATATTATACTTTATTCACAATGTGTGGAGAAAACCCTGTGTTATGTGCAACATTCATGCATGTCTCGCTGCTGCACCGGATAAAGGAAATTAAGCAAAGATTTGATATTTTAGATGAGATTACATGTTTGCAGCTAACATCCTCTCACTTTTACTTCACTGCTGGTGGATTTGCAGCCTTTTTGCGGCCTCTTTTTTAAATTTCAGACCTGGAATTACATCTAGGCAGCAGGAGACATGAACAGTTTCTACCACATTGGCTCTATAATGTGGTCTTTATGGTAAAATGTGCGTGTGACGTAAACCAAAGGGAGCTCTGCTTCATCAGGACCTTTTTCACCCAGAGACAACAGAGCTGAAGCTGTTGTAGTTTCTGGTGGCGGAAGGCTGATCAGAAAAGGTTGTAATTGCATATTTGTGTTGTTTTAAACACAACATCTGTTACCATCAGAGAGGCGACGAGGCCCTCCTGCTCGTATTTTCATCGCACCAGCAGGAACAAGCTGTGAGAATTAACACCTTTTTTCAAAAACCTGTGACCACATTCAAACTGACACAAGATGACGCCACATTCACAGCGTCAACCCAAATCCTAAGAAACAGTTTGACTTTTTGACATGAGAGAGGAGGTGAAAGCTGTGAGGAGGCGAGAGAGGAGGTGACACCTGGAGGAAGAGGAGGGGAAGTGATGGATGATGAAGAAAACAGGACTGGAAACATAAAGTCACTTTATTATTGTTTGTAGTTTGTAGTTTTGTCTAAGAATAATTAAAGGAATAGTTTGGCAAAACATCAGATGTTCAGATTAATCTCACATCTGTACAGTAAATATGAAGCTACAGCCTCTGCAGCTGGTTAGCTTAGCTTAGCATAAAGACTGGAAGCAAAGGGAAACAACTAGCCAGGCTCCGCCCAGAGGTAACAGAATCAACCAGGAACTTCAAAGCTCTCTGAGTAACGCAAAAAATAGTTTGACATCTTTGGAGCTGTGTTTTATTACTGAGTGTTAGATGTTCAGATTGATGCCGGTCTTCTGCAGTGTTGGGCACGTTAATTAAATTAAATTACATTTTATTTACATAGAGTCAATTCATAGCAGAAATATCTCATTGCACTTTTACAGTAGACCCAGAGGGGTCTTTTTAGAGAGGGGGCGGTATTGTCAGGGGATAGAGAAAGTAATGGCCAACATAACTACTTTTAATACCCAGAAATTCTCAACATCTTCATCCCATCAGCTTCATCTTCATCCGCTCATCTGGGGTCGGCAGCTCCAGCAGAGGACCCCAAACCTCCCTTTCCTGAGCCACATTAACCAGCTTTAACTGTAGGATCCCGAGCGTTCCCCGGCCAACGTACGAACACCTGCCTAGGGAGGCGTCCAGGAGGCATCATTACCAGATGCCCAAACCACCACAACTGGCTCCTTTCAAGCCAAAAAGGAGCAGCAGCTCTACTCCGAGTTCCTGGCGGATGACTTGGCTTCTCACCCTGTCCTTCAGGGAGACGCCAGCCACCCTGCTGAGAAAACCCAGTTCGGCTGTTTGACCCTGCGATCTCGTTCTTTCGGTCATGACCCAGCCCTCGTGAACATAGGTGAGGGTAGGCTCAGGTCTCTTCTGTTCAGATTCTCTGGCCAATCTCGCGCTCCATTGTCCCCTCACTCGCAAACGAGAACCGGCGTTACTTAAACTCCCTCACTTGGCCAACCGATCCAGCGAGTGCTGAATGTCACGGACTGATGATGCCATCAGGACCACATCATCTGCAAAAAGAAGTGATGAGATCCTCAACCCTTCCCCAATACGTCCACGCCTCGATACGCTGTCCACGAATATCACAAACAGGATTGATGACAAGGTGTAGCCCTGGCCAAGGCCAACCCCATCTTGAAACGAATCCAACTTACTGAAGAGAATCCGTACTCAGCTCCAGCTTTGGACGTACAGGGACTGGATATCTTTTAAAAGGGGACCCCTCACCTCAAACTCCTGCAGCACCTCCCACAGTATCTCCAGGTGGACCTGATCATACACCTCCAGATCCACAAAGCACATGTAGACAGGATGGGCATACTATCTATCTATCTGTACATCCACCAGGAAAACTTGTTGTTTATACTGTTTTGTACAGATGAATTTAAGATACTGTTTTAATCAGCTAGATATTTTTGTGACCTGCAGACAGAGCCAGGCTTCAGCTTCCCGCAGTGGAAAATGTTTATTTGGTGCCTTGCTCAGCGGCAGGAGAGTTCTCAAGCTTCCTTCAGCTGGTGTTGTGTAAATGTGTCATTCAATCACAGAACAAACTGCCTGACTAACCCATTCACAATTTAAATTCAGTGCATTTGGACGACGCAGCTCC